ATCTCCGAAAATGTGTTCTGTATCAGTTGAGACGATCTAAAGCTCAGGAATCTGTCTTTTCCTGTTTGGCTGTCATTTGGCCGAAAGGACACATTCCAAAAAAAAAAAAAAAAAAAAAAAATGACATCTTCCTAAACGACCCTTTCGATTCACTGGTCCTCCTCCTGCACTGGATAACCTCAGGTTTGTTGAGCGTGGGGATTGATCAAGGGAACGAGCCAGGATTTTGTTGCACTTGTGAATGGAGCAGGTCTTTGTCGGGTGCTTAAGGGGTGGAAGCAGAAAGTAGAGTTTAAAGAAAGCAGGTGATGGCGGTGAGATGTTTTATATAAATGTGTTTCAATTGGACTTCGAAGCTATTTTGTCCGTACATGCAAGGTGTGAGCTCGCCTGTCGAGATACAAGTGTTCTCCCCGACGGTATTCCGACATATTTAGGAGAGGGGCAAAGAGTAAAACGACTGGGCAGATATATATTAAGTACGAACGTGTTTGTAAGCGCTTTCAAATTTGTTGTAGGATGTGTACATGTGCGATTACAGAATGTGCGTATGTGTATGAAAAAAACAATAAGCAAGAGCGATTAGAACTGTAGAGAGAATGGAAAGGAAAGGAGAGGAAGGAAGGAAGGAAGGAAGGAAGGAAGGAAGGGTAAAAAGAAAAGAAGGAAGGGTGAAGGAAGGATGAAGGAAGGAATGAAGGAAGGAAAGAAGGAAGGAAGGAATGAAAGGAAAAAAGGAAGGAAGGGTAAAAAGGAAAGAAGGAAGAATGAAGGAAGGAAGGAAGGAAGGAAGGAAGGAAGGAAGGAAGGAAAGAAACAGGAAGGAAGGAAGGGTAAAAAAGAAAAGAAGGAAGGGTGAAGGAAGGATGAAGGAAGGAATGAAGGAAGGAAAGAAGGAAGGAAGGAATGAAAGGAAAAAAAAAGGAAGGAAGGGTAAAAAAGGAAAGAAGGAAGAATGAAGGAAGGAGGAAGGAAGGAAGGAAGGAAGGAAGGAAGGAAGGAAGGAAGGAAGGAAGGAAAGTTAAACAGGAAGGAAGGAAGGGTAAAAAGAAAAGAAGGAAGGGTGAAGGAAGGATGAAGGAAGGAATGAAGGAAGGAAAGAAGGAAGGAAGGAATGAAAGGAAAAAAGGAAGGAAGGGTAAAAAGGAAAGAAGGAAGAATGAAGGAAGGATGAAGGAAGGAAGGAAGGAAGGAATGAAAGGAAAAAAGGAAGGAAGGGTAAAAAGGAAAGAAGGAAGGATGAAGGCAGGAAGGAAGGAAGGAATGAAAGAAGGACGGAAGGGTAAACAGGAAGGAAGGAAGGATGAAGGAAGGATGAAGAAAGGAATGAAGGAAGGAAGGAAGGAAGGAAGGAAGGAAGGAAGGGTAAAAAGGAAAGAAGGGAGGATGAAGGAAGGAAGGAAAGTAAAGTATGAAGCATATGGAAGTAAAACAAATGGTAAGCAGAGAAAAAGAAACAGGGATGAGAACAGAGAGAAAAGCGAAACAGAACGAAGAGAAGAGAAGAGGTAGTATAAACAGAACGAACGAAGCGATAGATAGATGAATAGATAGATAGATAGATGAGATAGATAGATAGATATGAAAAGGGCTGGATATAGATAGATAGATAGATAGATAGATAGATAGATAGATTTTAATAGAATTATAGACTGAAAGAAAGTTGAAAATAGACTAAAATAGATGTGACTAGCAGCATGGTCCGGCGTTGATTCAAAAATCGTACGACTCATACAGCAATCGCTATCAATTGACTTAAAATATTTTTGCCCTTCCTTGCCTTTAAAGGAGTGCCCTTTTCCGTGCTGATGTTGCTACATGCCTTACTTCTTGCCTATCTCGCACTGCGAATTTTTCTAAGTTCTATACTAAACATAAAATCTGTTACGAAAAAAGAACTAAACAAAATGAACACAAAACAATCAGCTTTAAAAAAGGACTCGTAACTGGAAGAACGGAATGAAGAAAGAATGTTAACAACAAATACTTTTTCACACCGAACCCAGTTCTGCGGAATCAGAATCAACGTTGAGTTTAAGAAAGCGAATGAGCCAATTAGAGTAAAGTGCCATGCAAATTTAAATTTTTCCCACTTGTGACGAATGCAGCTATCGATTTTTTTTGCATGCTAGTTAACATTCGTGTCAGTCAGCTGTTGGCTCTCACGCTGGCCAGTAGAATGTTCCTGTTTATTCGTGGCGGCCTATAGGCTCTCACTCTGGCCAGTACAAAATGGCCGCAAACTATATGAAAACTGCCGTAGAAGCATGAAAAAAATCGGTTATTTCCGCTATCGGTGGGAGTTGGGAAATGCAAAGTCGGTCTTGGCCTTCCTGCTAACTTGGCGCATGTGCAAATCCGTCGAAAATTGCAACCGTGAATTCGTTACACACACATCCTGCCTTTTATAGATAGAGATCAAGTTGGGATAGATATGATTGGGGCTGATATGCATATATACAAATAGATAGATAGATAGATAGATAGATAGATAGATAGATAGATAGATAGATAGATAGATATTAATTGACATTGCATTTAAATGTTTGAAGACAAAGTTGACTGGAAAGCAAGCAGCCGGGAGAGAGTTCCAAAAACGAAAAGTGCAAGAGAAGAAACTGTTAGCATAGAACATGCAGTTGCTTTTAAAAATTCTAACTTTAAAATGATGAGATCTTGCCGCCAATCTAGTTTAAATCCCTTAGATGAAATATGAAAATAATTACCATAAAAATATTTGCAGAAAAGGCACAGGAAAACTACGTGGGAAAGCCGAAATGCCAGGTCTGGATCAATATATAGCAGAAGCATCCGATGTGACAGTAATATTCAAATAAAGGATGAATGGTAAACTTATAAATATGTAAGATAGAGTCTGACGAGAAAAGTTGTCTAGCACAATGAAACATCTTTCCTATCTGCACATCTAGCAATTGATTCAATATAATCTTTCTACTTCAGGTCAGAGGAAAGAAGTATTTTAATTTTAATGTAATTGTACCATCAGGATGTAGGGATCATGGTTCCTCGCAGATTAATATTATTTAATGTCTGCCAATTGCCAGGATTTCTTGAAAAATATATTTGTCTTTTTCACAGTTTTGAATTGCAGTTCATGCTTTTCTTGACAGACCTCAAAATAGAGAGTCTTTTCGACCATGTTGTTTAACCGTTCATTGTCTATTGTTACCCTAGTGTAACATTTTATGCGTGTGTGTGTGCGCGCGCTCGCGCGTTTTATACAAGACGAGTACAGGGGTTTCTCAACAGACGACAGAATTCCGTTCCTACGATGCGTTGTAACGCGATTTTCCGTGTAAGTAGAAACGTACCGGTAATTTTCCGTGAATAAGCACTTATGTCATTCACCTATGATAACCGAATAGTAAAGTAATCATCTTCGACATAACAACACAATTCCATAACATAGGTTAACATAATTAGAAATAAAAGAACATGGATGACATAAATATAATAAATATAATGAAATGAAAATAATATATATAATAAAATGAAGTTGTTTGAAGCCGATTGTATATTTATTGCAAGTGATGCCATTGGCTTTCGGTAGATGAGATGACGAAGCGTAAGATCTTGTCGCTCTTTCAATACACGAAAGCAGCAGAAAATCTGGAGAAGAAAGAAATACAAACGTGTTTGTTTCACATTTCTATCGGGAATCCACCAACTTATATTTTAACAAGCCAACCAACTTATATTTACAAACCAACTTGATTTTTATACACATATTTAATTTTTTTAAGCAACAGTCGAACGGCTCAAGCCGAGTAACCAACCAATATATGTCCCAGTGTCTCTCGTTTTAGAGCGTTTAACAAAGTCTACTTTTACTTCCATGGTGATGGCTTTCATTTTCTTCGAAGCACCATCATCAGAAGATTTTACACTATACTTGGAGACCATACTGAAGGGCAGTATGTTTCCACAAGCATAACACAAACAAAAGAGGGCGAATACACAACAATCTAACATTTTTTACAACCAGGAAGTGACCCAGGCCGCCTGACGAAAAACACAAAAGGCATATTGAAACAATATTAATGGAGATTGCGTCGTAACCACGAATCGTTGTATGTTCAAACTGTCGTAACCCGGGGACTTGTATTAATTTTGATCATTTTATTTTTATCAATAATATACACAGAAAAGAATAAAATGCTAAAATACAATGTATGAATTACCAATTCATAGTGATTTTTGTCAAATCTTTCAACTATGACCGGGCACTTAAAATGTCCACCTATAACAGAGGGCAGGAGAGATGAATCCATGCGTTTCCCAAGAAATTTACAGAAGAGCGGGTCTGTGTACTCAGTTCGTTTTCTACGGTTTATAAACCCTTTGCATGTTATTTAAAGCCAGGAAATATTTTTAGATTGTAAGATTTTTTTAGTTATTTTTTTTTTTTTGTGCACGCGCGTAAGGGAATATAATGAACCCCACTGAAAATGAAACTCGGCTCTCCGATTAAAAATTCCGAGCTATTATACACTACACCGCCCTTACACCCAAGCTTATAGCACAAGTGGTCACCCATCAAGGTACTGCCCAGATGTTGCTTAACTTCGGCGTTTGTATGGGAACCGGTATTCCAACCAAATGCGGCTGTAAGCTCTTGTTTTTTTTGTTTTGTTTTCTTTTCTTAATTTTTGTTTTTGTTTTGGAGATCTGGCATTTCCAAGTGGTCACCCATCAAGGTACAGACCAGGTTCGACGTTACTTATCATCAGTAACGGGAACCGGTATTACAACGTGATATGGCCGTAAACACATTTTTTTTTTTTTTTTAGATAATAATGATTTTCTGACACAAGTCCTACTAATTAACCCATAGCTGTGTGGGGAGGATAGGCGATTCCCAACATTTCCCATGAGAATTTGCGCGTAAGTGAATATAACGAATCTAACAGGAATTGAAACTCGGTTCTCCGATTTCTAATTCTGATTCGTTATCTATTACACCAGCCGCACACCCCAAGCTTGCAGCACTTGGTATTCGCAAGCGGTTACCTATCTAGTTACTGACAAGGCTCGACGTTGCTTGACTTCAGTGATCGTAAGGGAAACGGTGTTTCACCGTGATATGGTCCGTAAGCCCATTACACCTTCCGTACATCCAAGATTACAGCAACTGTTATTCCCAATCGGTTACCCATCTAGTTACTGGCAAGGTTCGACGTTGCTTAACTTCAGTGATTGTACGGGAAACGGTGTTTCAACGTGATATGGCCGTAAACCCATTATACCTTCCGTACATCCAAGATTACAGCAACTGTTATTCCCAAGCGGTTACCCATCTAGCTACTGACAAGGCTCGATCTGGCTGTAAACCTCGACAGTCCGTAAATGTTACCATCGTTGTTCATTTATGGTCCGAATATTCGAAGTCCGGAAATTCAAGGCATGCATAATCGATGAAATACTGCAGTAAATATAAACACACTAGGTCGGACTTGAACCAATTCCACCGCTTCCATTTTCTTGTCGATAACCGTTACGCTACCACGTAACATTACCTAAACATAAGCAAATAGATGTCTTTTTACATATCTGTTAATTCAATTTATGCTAAATTTGGTATAAGGCTATATTTTTGGATCACTCAGTGGAGATCGGTTTTCCTTTCAGTATAACATCTATCCGGCTGAAGTTTTTGATTACTCAATTTTGAATCAACATCGCAGATCAGTCGAAGGCTTAGCCCATTTACATAGATGGATTTTGTAAGTATTTCAGTGTACAATATTCTAAAAGTGTGTTGTTACAAGTAAGAGAAAGTCTTCTTAAAAATCAGCATTTTAAAATCGACACCTTTTTCAGGGTTTGAACACCAACAACTTTCGCGGTCAAAAACATCCATCGAAATAGACATTAATAGACAGCCTTTTTTAAAACATAAACAGATGTGAACAGACTAAGATAGATAGATAGATAGATAGATAGATAGATGTAAACAGAATGAAATAGAGAATTGAAGAGAATAAGAAAGATATATTCGAACAGAATGATATAGATAGATTTGAACAGAGTGAGATAGATAGATAGATAGATAGATAGATAGATAGATAGATAGATAGACTGAGAAACAAACTTGAAAATAGAACAGACCAAGATAAATAGATATGACTAAGGATGAGATAGATATGAAAACATTAAGGCAGTCATACATACCTGCGTAGATTGAGACAGAAAGACAGACAGACAAAAGACAGACAGATTTCTAGTTAGCTAGCTAGCTAGATAGATAGATTTGACAAAATGAGATCGACAGAATTGATCAAAATAAAATAGATTGAAAGAGAGATTTGCTATGCGATAGATAGATAGATAGATAGATTGAAAGAACGAGCTTGAAAATAGAATAGACTATGATAAATAACTAAGGCTGAGGTAGATACCTAGATATGAAAACATTGAGGCAGTCATACATACAGTCAGATAGATAGATAGACAGATAACAACAGACATGTCTAGACAGAAATTTATATCTGTACTCATGTCTAAAATAGATATTTCAGAGACCAATGTGACAAGAGGATTACAAAGCGCATACCCAGATGAAAGAGTAATCTCCCTTGATTGGCATTCTCACTTACTCACCTTTCACAGCCCTTGGGCATAATAGTTATATTAAGTACGGGTTAAGACCAGGTTTGTAAGCCAATACTCACATTTCCTCTTAAGTCGCCCGCAGTTTCCCGCTTCGCATCTCGTTTGGCGGGAGATGACTCGAAGGGAAATTGTGATTTTGAAGAATAACATAGATGGTCACTGCCATTAAAAATTCCATTCCATCACAAGACATCGAGTTGACATATTTGAAATATTGTACGGCGGTTTAAATCGTTAAATAAATTTGAATTACACAAAACCATAGACAGTTGCTGAAAAACGGATAAAACACCATTTGCAAATTTACTTTGGATCAATATCTCATTGCGCTTATTTTCCATTATACTTACACACACACACACAAATATATATATATATATATATATATATATATATATATGAAGAAATATTAAGGTGTGCTAAATTTATGGGATAAAGTGCTCGATATCAGAGATAGAGCGTATGTAAATATGAAATTGAACATTGAATTCAATACTCAGAGGCGACAGGCTATTTCATGCTAGAGAAGCGGCCTGACGATTGCGTCTAGCATGAAACAGCCTGTCGCCTCTGAATGTTGACTTCAATGTTCACTTATATATATATATATATATATATATATATATATATATATATATATATATATACACACAGGGTGCGAAAGGAATATTTTTCACGGTGTTTGTTTTTAATTTGTCGACTGCACATTATATTAGGGACAGTTCGATACACCATGACGCTGTTATCTCCGCCAGAGTCTCACGGAGTCCTACATCAAGTGGAAGACCCTATGTCCGGCAACATGGCTCTGCCCCATACCACACAAGCAGGGCAACCCAGCCATGGCTGTCAGACAATTGCTGCGAGCACAGCATCCCTTACCTAAGTCTCCAGACTGCAACGCCCCTTAATTATCATTTGGGTAGTGCAGTTGAACGAGAGACTAACAAAACTCCTTGTAACACCAAAGATGAACTGAAGGCAAGTATTAAAGCAACATTCACCAACTTAAAAAAGAAGACCGCCCAGAAGAGTTGCAGGAGATTCCGATGGCATCTTCAAGGCTGTGGTTGAAGCCAATGACAATTTTATTAAATTTTATTTTGTATATCAAGATATTTTTCTGTAATTTTGTTAAATATATCTGTTAAAATGTGATGTCAGTTTTTTTTTCATTTTTGCGTTATTTTGATGACAATTTATCCATCGCACCCTGTGTGCGCGCGCGCGCACACAGACACACACACAGACACACACACACACACACACACACACATATATATATATTCATACACGTTTCATTAAATAATATAGACAAGTGTTGTCTATTTATTTTATGTAATTTTTTTTCGTAACGTCTGATAAGTTTAATAACATTATCGTTGAACGAAGAAAGAAATTCACAATATTGATCCATATTTTTTTTATTTAATACGATCTAAGCTTTCGGCTTACATAAGCCATTATCAAAGATGTCAATTACAACATATTAAGCAATATACGGACAAGACAGTGATGATAGCCTGTCGTTGTTTACATAGATGATTTCTAAGCAACGATAAACACGTGCATATAAGACGCTAGAAGCGAAAATCGCACCGCACCTCATGACGTTACACATGACCACGCGACAGTGAATTCGAGAAGTATTAAGTATAGGAAGCCGTTGGTATAAACCAATTGCTTCTGTTACCAATTATAGACATTTAAGAATATTTGTAGAGATGCCATAATTGATTTTGTTTAGGTTGGGTTTCAACTGTTTGATGTATAATGCTTCAAGGATTTTTAGTTTCTGTCTATTGTTTTCATGTCGAAGTATAATTGTGTTTTCGACAAGTATTTTACGGAATTGTGTGTGGGCAGGCATGTTGTTTTAAATGCCTAAAAAAATGTTAGAGTTTTCATTCAAATGTAGTGTCAAGCGTCATGAAAGCGATTTTGTGGTGTGACCAACATAAATATTATTTAATTCGTTGAAGATACACTCTCCCAAAGGGCACTTGAATTTATAAACTATGTTGTTTTTTTGCAATATATATATATATATATATATATATATATAGAGAGAGAGAGAGATGGACAAGTGAGAGAGAAATATACAGACAAGTTGAAATAGTTACTGACTCTTTGATATATATATATATATATATATATATATATATATATATATATAATTTATATATATATATATATATATATATATATATATATATATATAGAGAGAGAGAGAGAGAAAAAGAGAGCCATGGACAAGAGAGTGAGAAATATACAGACAAGTTGAAATAGATATTGACTCTTTGATCTATATATATTAGATAGATAGATAGATAGATAGATAGATAGATAGATGTCGGTATATATTTATACAGAGAAGGTGGTGGACCTAGAAATGACAGATGGTAACGATCTGAAAGACACAGTTGTTTAAAAGATAGATGGTTAGTTTGCTTTCTGGCTAACGTCTAAATCATGTAAATAAATAAGTACTTATCTCGAATCTTGAATGGCTACCGAGTGAACATGATTGTGGCCTCAGGGGTTTCACCTGACCTACCCGAGTTTGATTTAATAAGGGTGGCTAAGATTAACCTGTAACTGGCAAGGAGTTTGAAGGGGCGTTTTGACCGGTTGTTTTCAGATACTAATAGATGGTTTACTGACTGTTACTTTACATTTAATGTCCGTAAAATACGCCATGCCTGGTGACCTAAAACCTTCGCCTGATCAGAGCTTATTTAACGTTGAATTAGGAGTGCTGACTTTATTTTTCTCGTTCGCAATTACACGAACAATAAAGAGACAAGATAAATGCTAATCTGCCGTCGTAAAAACTCGTAAATATCGACTCAAGTACTTTGCGCGATAGAATTGTCATGCACGACTTAAAGCATTCGTTTAGATTCCCACACTTTTTTTTTTAAGATATGTAAGTTCCAAGTACGGCACAAGGATCTATTTGAACTTCTAGAGAAACTCGATCTATTCGGAAAAAATATGGTAGACGAAACCGCCTGGATATGTGTAAAAATTAATTGAGTAGCTAGACAAAAATTGGGCGGGCGTGAGACAAAAATGCGTTTCCTCACCAGATTTATTCAATCTCTGCTACAATGTTTGTCAACCTTTTTAAGTAAAGACACACCTACGAATGAAAATAGTGAGTACACTTAGGAAAATTTTCAAAGGGTATATACATTAAAAGATTATGAAATAAAACAATAAATTAAAAAAAAATACATACACAAATATGAAATTACTTTACTTTAATGTTTCTATCCAAATATTTGTGCAGATTATTTAGTGTGAAACCTGTGCCTGGTGTTTTTTCGTGCTTTCTTTAATGCTTGATCGAATATATGAGAAGCAGACCCTCATTTCTTCAGTTGAGCGTATTCTCGCTTCTTGTTTTTGATGTTATTTAACCTTGAGAAGACTAATTCACATAAACAAGAAGTAGAAAATTGCAATAAAACTGATAAAGATTTTTAGCTCATATTTCTTTTGTATTGAAATCCAAAATGTATCAAGAATAAAGAAAATAATCATTTGAAAAAAATTGTATACTTATTCATTTATCCAAATACTAACTCTGTATTATTAATATTTACACAAACACATAT